TGCGATTACTGTTTAGAACTGTTACAACAATTTTTGACGTGACAACGTCTTAAATTAGGTTGCGGCTGGGAGTCACTTATGAAAAAGTGTAACGCTCGGTAACGTTACGATGAGTCTCTCGTGTTAAGTTTAAGTTTACATGTACAATGTTTTAGTAAACAAAATATATTTCTATAGTTAAAATTTGTGCAATTCTTATTTTCATTCAATTCCTTGTTCCTATTGTGCAATTTAATTATATTCATATCAATAAATATTCTACCGAGAAAAAGACGTTGTCACGTAAAATCTTCGCCCGTAAAACCGACTTTACAGGCAACCATTTTTTTTATTTATATGATTTTTATGTTTCTCAGGCAACTTCACGATGTCTTTCTTTCTATCATACAGTTTTATTGACAAATGATTTAAATAAAACTTAAACGGTTATTCCAATCTACGTAAGTGCATTAACGTCGTTTTACACGCACTTGGACGTTTAAGTTACTTAAGAAACAACAGCGCTTTGAATAATTCAATATCTCAATGTCTTCCAATCTGGTTCCAGTTTTACTTTAGTTACCCACTTATCCACACTATTACTACTTACTATTATTACTTATTACTTTTGATGTAGGTATTTCTAAGCTTTTGCCACTGCGCCTCATAAAGCATTTGAGCTACCCAAATAACAAGTAGGTTCACCATGTTTTACCATTATCTCAAGCTAAGCCTAGAAATTGATCAAATATTTTCTAACAATGGTGTGGTTGTAGAAACCACGATGCAAGTGAAACTTTTAAAATATTGATAGAAAAAGTCCTCTCTCCACTGGGAATTGAACCCGGGCCACCCGAGTAGCAGACGAGCTTTCTCACTGCACCAACGATATGCTTGATGATAAGTTCTGATTTATTATAACAATCACACTAATATTATAAAGTCGAAAGTTTGTGAGTGTGTATGTTTGTTACTTCTTCACGTGTAAACGATTGGAGTGATTTTAAAAGAGTTTTGCTTTGAGTTTTTAGTACAGTTTATTTAATTGGTTCGGAGTTAGCTGACACCCTGGATTAACGCATTGGCTACGTTTTACTGCGGGATAATATCCTTAATAAACAGCGGGTAACACCGCGGGGCACAGCTAGTTGAAAATATAATGCGACATGCTAAAGATGAGCAAAACATTTGTGGCGATAATTATGTTATAAAAGTTTTGACTTTAACAATAATAATAGAAAAAATGTTTCTATATTTAATTTATTAAAAGCGATAATTTAATGTAACCAATTCATTTTTATAAAGTAAAGTTCATGTTTCAGTTTTGTGACCTATCAAAATAACCAGAAAAGCTGGAATCTAAATTATAAAATATAATAAAAAAACACTAGGTACCATAAAACGGACCCGTTTGGGAATTTGATAGCTCGTTTTATAAAAAGATAATTTTCAAGCGATTTATAACGAAAAAAATTAGATACCTACTACGGAACTTAATTTATTCTATTGCAAACGCAATAATGGATACGGGTATATTTCCCTCTCTTTGGAAAACGGGTTTTATTGTACCGATCCATAAAACAGGGGATTTGAGTAGTGATAAAAACTACAGACCCATTACTATATTGTCTGTGTTTGCTAAAATCCTCGAATCGTTGTTATGTCCAATTATATCATGCCACTTTAAGAGTATGTTATCGAATTATCAGCATGGTTTCGTTGGGGCTCGTTCAACCAACACCAACCTTGTTGACTTTGTTGATGAGGTATCTCTTTCTATGGACAACCGAGTATCTGTAGATGTGATCTACACTGATCTTTCGAAAGCGTTCGATAGGGTTCCTCACTATATTTTACTTCGGAAATTATCCCAATACGGTTTTGCTGGTAGTTTTTTCAAATGGTGCGCTTCTTACTTAAGTAATCGTACTTCAAAGGTCGTATTGAGTGGATACGAATCTGATCCTTTTCCAAGTCTTACTGGAGCTCTTCAAGGCTCCCATTTGGGGCCAATATTCTTTAATATATTTGTGAACGACGTGACGGAATGCTTCAAAAATTGCAAAGTATATCTTTACGCAGACGATCTTAAATTAATGAGACCAATCAAGAATATGCAAGATGTTTGCTTGATGCAAGATGATCTAAATAAATTGAACTCTTGGTGTATAGAAAACAAGATGGTTTTAAACGTAGAGAAATGTTACTATATCCGCTTTACTCGTAACCATTCCGATGTGCCTGGATCTTACACAAAATCTAACCAACCTATCCGTGAAGTCGAGACTGTTCGTGATCTTGGTATAATCCTAGATAAAAAAATGAGTTTAAGAGAACATTACGAATATATAATTTCTAGGTCACTTAAATGTCTGGGATTCGTAATAAGAAACACTAAAAACTTTAAAAACCAGTCAACCATAATAAGATTGTATGAAAGCCTGGTTAGATCTACTCTCGAATATTGCAGTGCAGCTTGGATCCCTTATTATGATGTACACTCCAATAAAATAGAATGTGTGCAAAAGAGGTTCTTGTATCATTTGTCCTATAAATTTAACCTCGCAAAAAAGCTGCACGGATATAACGAACGTTTAAAGCATTTTAAATTTTCATCGCTGAAAAATCGGCACAATATGATAAGCTTATCTTTTCTCTATAGGGTTACAAATGGTAACATAAATTGCCTCCAATTGATACATATAATTAACTTCTCGATCACTTGCAAACTACCACGTCTGTCAAGATACTCCTTGTTTACACCCAAATGTTGAAAGACTAATTTAGGTCTTTACTCTCCTATAAACAGGCTTCAAGCGCAATATAATTCAATAAGCAAAAAAAAGGTAATTGATTAATTTAGTCTGAGTCTCCCTACATTTAAAAAAAAATACAGCTTAACACATCTATCTATCGTTTTTGTTTGGTTTTTTATCTTAAAAATGAAATGTAATGGACTTTTGTTTGCTTTTTGTTAATTTATAAAATCAGAATATTTTTGTAAAGGATGCCTTATGCTCCTAATTAGATTACAGTGCAAAAAAGTAACAGGCTTGTTATTAAGGCAACACTAAATTATTTATTGGCATGTAAGGTGTATGTTTTTGTTGGTTGTCCAAAAAAAAATACTAAAATATTTTTTGTAACACGTAAAGTTATTCAATGATTGAAAAACCGGCCAAGTGCGAGTCGGACTCGCGCACCGAGGGTTCCGTACAAACCTCTAGGTATATTTTAATAATTATTAAAAAAAAAAATATTATAGGATGTAACTAAGAATTTACGGTTTTCGCAATTTTTCCTTTATCTGTACTATAAGACGTTACTTCGTACCAAATTTCAAGATTCTAAGTTCACGGGAAGTACCCTGTAGGTTTTGATTCCCGTGCGAGTTTCGAAAATTTGCGACATAAACGGCTGTATCTTTTGATTGCTTTGGCTTAGAAGTTTGATTTTTTCGCAGCTCCAAGGGACAGTACTCCTGAGTATTATATATGAATTTCAGTTTGATACCTCTACGTGTTCCTGAGAAAAACGGTCTTGACAGACGGACGGACGGACAGACGGACAACAAAGTGATCCTATAAGGGTTCCGTTTTTTCCTTTTTAGGTACGGAACCCTAAAAAAAACAACAAAATTTATTTATCAGTGTAGTCTGAGCATGTGGGAGCATTACCAAGCACGTTGAAGTGTCACTTATGCTTTAAAAATACTTTATTTTGTTGAGTAAAGTTCTCAAAGCATTAAGAACTTCTTACAGGTTCAAACAACTTCAATAAGGTTATTTTCAGTATAATATTTTGCTACCGATAAGTGGTGAGAAACTTATTCTTTGTAAAAAAGGTAAGAATAATAACTATTTACTTACCTTAATTTTATTGTAGATGATATTTTTGTGTTAAAAAAATAAGATTCTACATTTAAATCTATAATAATGCAGTATGAATGAATAATTGGTCTCCCTGCAGTCGACTGAAGAGAGAGCAATCATTTATTTCGCATTCGTTTTAAATATTTCAGAATTTATGGCACATGAGGCATATCTACATAAACGTAGTCAGTACAGAAACAAAGCTTCATACACCTATGCTGTGATCTTTTCACTACTACAAGTACGACGCGCGTATGTTAGTGAGCACTGGCTGTCTGTCACGTACGAAGTCACACGTCAGTGCCAGTGCTCAAGCGCAGGGCTCGCGGAACTCTCGTAGCGTATTTGTCTTCGTTTCACGTTTTGAAATAATAAATATTGATTTATAAAAAAAAACTAAACATGATTTAATGTACTGTGCATATGAAAAATAATAGAACGAATAATAACATATGTATGTAAAGAAAATTTAAAATGTATATAAAAAAATCTAGAAAATCTTTCTTTACATTTAAACAATTAGCAGTTAAATATTCAAGCATTTGTTAAAGTACCATCATCAGCCTATTGTTAAAGTATAAATACAATAAAAAAACAGAATATATTTTCAAATTACCATTTAGACTCCACTAAGTAAATAGTAAGTTTGCTACGTAATGTTTATGTTTTTATGTGGTTAATACAGCTACATGGATAGATGTACTTAATAATTATAACATGCTTATCGTCTTAATCACGATATTTTTGAAACTTTTTGTTTATTTTAATTTATCATCGTGTGTCAACCTTACCAAACTAAGGAAAAATTTTGACAGCTCTATAGAAGCTTGGTCTCTGTACGTATCTCTTTACTCATGTGGTTATGGTCAAGTGCCAAGGACACGAAAGATAACTGTTTTTATCTATCTATGTCGCTGTAACAAAACCTAATTCGTTCGGTAGTAAATCTTATTTCCTTTCAATTGGATTGTAATAGAAATATTACTTAATTTATTGGTTTTTGTAATTGCATTCCGTAAAAAGTTTAACGAAATATTTGTTGTTTTCTTTTTGTTGACAAATCTATTTTGCTCCGACTTTGAATAGACCAATTAATTACATACACAATCCGCGAAAAGTACCTTTATTCGAATTATTATAAAAACTTACTTTTCGATCTCAGCCCTTCTGACACTTTGAGGGTAATATTATTGAACTCGATGTCCACGGAACTCCTCGCTGGCATGTCCACTTGTAGTGTTCTGCATTCCTGGGTATCCTTGCCGCTTATTTTTCGACCCAATCCAGTGAACATGGTCAGTGCACTCGCCATTTTCACTTTATTTACAACAAAATTCTTGATCACTATACAAAAATGCCTTTTTTATTTACTTATTGCATTATAATAAAAAGGAGGTTTTTAGAATTTATCCCAAAAAAAAACAAACAAAAAGGAGGAACGTACAATTTTTTTAGGAAACTATTTCGTATTTGGAACGCGTGTTTATTGTTTATTTTTTTTTGCCGCGCGCGGCATTTATGTGCGTAACGTCGCGAGCGCGCTATCAGACTGTTAGGTCCGCGTTTACTTCACAATTTGTGTTAAATCAGCGACGCAAACAAGTTGACGGATCCGACAATTAATAATATATCCTTATTGCTAGTATAATTAAGATCCATATTGAGTTACACAATGTTCGTCGGGTGCGTTGGCACCTGGAATCTCTCACGTTATTTTTAGCTTGGTTTTCAGTTATAAAAATATGATTCAAGTTCAAAGCTGCCTCTTATTATCTAGCACACAATATGATAGTAATTACGAACAGAAATGGCCTTAAATTGAACACCTGTATTGCTGTCAATAATAATTAAGTAAGGAGGGTTTATTATTTTGAATTTTTGATTATAAAAGTACAAAATTTTATTGAGCGTGTACTAACAGTAGATTTGTTCGTAGTCGACATGATTTTAATAGACAATCAAGTACCTACTTTATTTCGTAATACCAGATAATGTTTATATAATGGTCTAGACATCTATATACTCCGTTCGTCATGCATTGTTGATATTACCTAATTCCAAACTAGTTGATGTGTGTGCGCACTGAAATGATAACTGATGTAAGTACTTAATTTTTTTCTTAAAAAAGCAAGCGTGAAAATAAAACTTGTTTATTTATTTATTTTATTTTATTTTATTCTCACTTTCCGTCCTGGGGGCCAATCGCCTAACGGAAGTGCTATGGCTATCGCTATCGCTTACGATTTCATTTTGTTATTTCTGACCGCCGAAAGTTTTTAAATACCTTACGCTCATTTTCTTTAATTGTTATTCTTTAGTTGTATTTACCAATACAAAAGAAAAAAAGGGTGAGGGGCATTTTTTATTTTATTTTATTGATAAAAGACGGTTACAATATGTGTTTTACGACTACGATATGTGGTACCATGGTACCGTAAAATCTAAGGTAATATTATAACCCACAACATTCACAAATTATTAATTAATAATAGTGCATTGCTGATTTTACATTCAGCGAGAGTAAACTTAACACTATAATCTTTATGCTTAACTATATTTTAACAATTTGAAAACCTTCAGCAGTCAAAAATAACAAAATTAAATCGTAAGCGATAGTGATAGCCATAGTTATCCCGTTATTCGAATAGCCACCTGGGGGCCATTCGCGTAACGGAAATGCTTTGGAAAATGCTAACGCTTACGTTTTCGTTTTGTTATTTCTAGCCGCCTGAGGTTTTCAAATGCCTCGCGCTCTTTTTTTTTCTTTTGCATTTTTAATAACAATATTAAAGAAAATGAGCGTGAGGTATTTGAAAACCTTCGGCGGTCAGAAATAACAAAATGAAATCGAAAACGTTAGCGTTTTCCAAAGCATTACCGTTAGGCGAATGGCCCCTAAACGTAACACCCTACCCCGTGGAGCCTTTTTTTTGTGACGCAGGCAAAAACTCTGTTTACAGACGACGGCGCCTTTAAGAGGTGCACCGCCGAACGGACCTCAAACCTGGCTCCCGCAAACCTTACGAGCCCCCACAGTGACTCGTACCTCTTACGGGCGCTTTACGGCATAATATCCGCTAAAAACACAGCGAATACCATCTAAGCTGCTTAGTGCGAAACCCCGAGATCCCCGTTTAGGGATTCTTCCGCGTCTCTCTCTCCTGGCCTAGCCGGGGCTCCACGGCAAGGGTCTCCCGAGATATTGCGGGGACCCCGCAGACGTGGATCCCGTGGAGCCCTGGAACCCTACTCATCAGCAGAAACACAACACCACCAAAAGGTATTGTTTTATTTATTGTGGTCTTCTCTAAGATCGAGGTGACTTCCTTAAGGTGCTATCCGACGAACTTTACGCTTTAACATATTCACGATTGTATGCATTTTGCATTGGACAAACTATATAGTATACTTCCGGACACATCTATCGGCCTACTTAGTGTTAAAATTTTCAACGGTCTCTAGCAAAAATATATGTAAGATTCACCGACCTGAAACTGTGTAAGATTAAGCAATAATAATGTATTTTTAAAACACCAAAAAGATGATTAATAAAACATCTTCAAAGCTGCCTCAAATCTTTTGCTCAATGTGTCCCTACACATTGAGCAAAAGATTTGAGGACACATTATATTTTGTTGATTTTACGTTATTCTTTGCCCTACATCATGCTTATTCTATACCAAATATATTGCGTACATATGTGTGTGCCGGCAGCTACGCCTGCCACAATTGTATAATTTAATTTCAGTCGCAATAGAGCTATTGAACCTTAATGTGTTTTCTTATTTTCCAAATCCTTCTGAATACGGACTTTACTAATGCAATAACATAAACCGTACACAATATAAAATTATTAATATAAAAAAAATAGAACTCATGTGACTACAGCAGCAAAGCTAACAGCGAACTTTAATTGATTTAAAGAAATGGACCCAGTGTTATCTTTTAAAATGTCTTCTATTTTTCTTAAAATTCATGTTAATCACAACACAACTAAACTAAACTAAAATTCGCAAAGTGTGCGTTGAGTCAAGTCCTCGGTGGACATTTTCAGGATAAAAGTACTTCGTCTGCGCAGGCCATAAATGTTTATGACCATAAACTTATAATATTTATATGTTAATGTCATGAGATTAGAAAGTTTTTGAATAAGATTGTAAAAAATCATTTCAGAGATTTTTTGAATGCGTTTTAGGAGCTTTCCAAAGTTCAAAAAACTTAAGAATTCAACATTTTAATGGTGCCACGATATCAGATCTGGCCAAAACTGGGTTTCCGTCTGTGAAGTATACTAATCACCTACCTACTTTAGAAAAAAAACATCAGGTACCTCATAATTTAAGTCGCAGTTAAATTAATGAATCTCTATTAGATATGCCAAAAAATCCAAAACATTGCATACTTTTTTTGGATTACATGTAAAATTGAGGAACATTATGTTGATGCAGATATTCCTTATAACAATCTTACTGGTTTTCGCTTGGCATCACAAACAATCACTGTTCATAGAGTTCATTATGGCGTTGCATCACAACTCTGAACTACAATCACATGCCAACAAATTATTGAGACTTAAGTGTAAAGTATGCTCAGCTGTAAAGAAGCGGTAACCGCTAAATGTAGCACAACTAAACTGAATAAATTATCTCATCCTACCATTTTGACTCAATAGAGATGATGACTAATTTTTTTTCTTCGTTTATCAGGTAGATTATCAAAAAGTATTGGACACATATTTTTTCTTTTTTCACATAATATAAACATTGCAGAGATATATTAATTTGAAAAGTCGCATGACGGCACGTTTTGGTACAAATTTCACTTAAAAGTGATGTCACGAGCCCCTACTCCCAAACGCGCTATAACTTTGAAAGTTTTTGGTTGATTGCCCAAAGAAAAATACGTGTCCATTATTTTTTGATCATCTAACTGACGGACTAAATAGAATTACGTTTACTGTTCCCTGTCATCACCCCTATTACAAGAAATGTATAAAAGTCCGAAAAAAGTTATATTTGTCCTTCTATTATGATTTCACACCTTAACCGCTACATCGAGTTTGATTTTACTGTGGAGATAATACTTTAAGAAAGGTAAAGACTTATTTTTGGTGGAAAATAATATACTAAAACATACCTACCCTAAATGAATCCAAAAAATACTAAAATTAACGTCTTATTAAGCTTAACTAAAGTCATGCATGACTTTTGTTTAACTTAATAAAACGTTAATTTTATACGTGACTATGGTAAGGTCTACTCGCTTGTTATAACCGACTTATCGCACTAATATCATAAATAATTATTTCTTATTTTTGAATGTGTTCTCTTCCTTTCGGTATGTGTTTCAATATTGTTCCGAATTTTTTGGCACTCAAAAATTTATCAGCTCTGGTCTTTAAAAGTGTGAATTTAGTTCCAGAAATTACTCCTGGTCCTTATACTTTTCCTTTAGCCATTTTCGTCTTGCAGACCTATACTTTTTCTTTTATTCCGTAGGATTCGGGAACCGTACTCAACAACAGAAACACAACAATACCAAAAGCTACTGTTAACAACACAACAATACCAAAAGCTACTGCAGTCTTCTGTAAAGCGGAGATCGCTTTTCCAGGCGGGCGCTCCAATTTAAGTGGACCTTACCTCCAGACGCGGCTGTACTTTTTTTTTATTTTTTTTGTGACGCAGGCAAAACCTCTGTTTACAGACGACGGCGCCTTTAAGAAGCACACCGCCGAACGGAACTCACACCTGGCTCCCACAAACCTTACGAGCCCCCACAGTGGCTGCCAACTGAGGACCCCGTAACTCTTAAGGGCGCTTTACGGCATAATATCCGCTACAAAAACCCTGCGAATACCCTCTAATACGAAACCGCGGTATCTCCGAGAGGCGGCTTTACCCAAGGCGCAAGGTCGCGGCACTAAATTCTAGCGCTGACCGTTATTGCGCAGAAGTAAAAATTAAGATGTCTTAGGGGGAAACGAGGTGCGCGGCTGGGCGTGCGTTGCTCCAATTGGCTCACCAACCGTACCCATGCGCAGCTATCCCCTTCGGGTTTTGTTCAGCGCTAGAGTTACATGCCGCGAACCGCGCGCTTACTATTAGAGGACACTAGTTTTCATAACTGCACACGAATTCTACAAGGGCAAGAGACGTCTGTGCTAACTAACTTCTCTTGAAACTAACTGTCTGTACTATTTACGGTGACATTAAACTAAACACACTTACAAGTTATTCACAGCTGGAAAACTGTGTAATGATGAATTACCTACTTATAACAGTATTAGTAAACTTTATGGTCTACTAAAGTTGTGGTTGATAATTAGTACCAACACCTACTCATTATACTTTGTGGTTTAGTAACTAATAGTTAGTAAAAAAACGAGTGTGTTTATGACCACACAACTGAAGTGAACCTTTTTTCTTTAGCTCCATCTGTATATATATATATGTATGTGCATATACATATTTCATTTACTACCTATAAGAGAAAGAGTGAGAAAAATGTGCTCGCGCACTGCTTTCTCTTGCTTATAT